ATTCATCTTCTCTTCTTGAGTTTCTAATTTGGGGCCAGTGACTTGAAAACATAACATCTTCTGTGGCTCATTTTTTATTTCCTGTGCTATTGTGCTTTGGATTTTATATGTACTCCCAAAATTCATGATCCCTAAGGAAGCAGTGTTTACAGGTAAGAACTTCAGGAGGGAGTGGATCCTTAGAGATCTGACCTCATGAATGGATTAATGGACTCGTGGATTCATAGCTCAGTGTGTTTGGAGAGAGGGTCTTCGATATAAAAGCCACTCTGAGGGGGCAGTTGTTCCATTAAGCCCCACCAGTATGTCTGCTTTTACTCTAGACATCATGTGACCTCAGACTAAAATACTCTGAAATCATGAGCTAAAATAAACCATGATCCTTTTTAAGTTGATTTACCTTAGGTATCTTGTTACTGTAACAGAAAGATGACTAACACGTTCTGCTGTTTTTTTTTTTAATTGTGATTACATAATTTCCCAAATTTCACAGTATTGTGGATAGTGATGCTCAGTTAAAGTCACAAACACATTCTAACTTTCCTGGAGCAAATTGTCTATCACAGTCTATCACATTTACGAGTTCTATGAGCTTTGCGATACAGTTATTTCTTCCACATTGGGTGGGTTCTGCTGGTTTTGTAGAAGGAAAGAGGAAGCTATGGAAGGGAGAGAGGTACACAGTATAGGATACAGCAAGTGTCTATAGCCTTTAGAACGGAGGCATCTTGTTAGAAAATTAACAGAAAAGGAGAAACTGCTGCTCCCTTTCTCCCTCCCTCTAGTAAATTCTGAGTTGGCTTAGGAAAGAATGCACAATAACATTATAGATCAATAACAAGTTGAGATGGGGCAGAACTTACTACCGAACTATAGGATGGCAAATAGGTAAATACCTCTAAGAGTTTTGGCAGGACACGGCTTCTTCTGGTAGCATAATACAATATTACAGACCTGAAATATGAAGACAAAAGTCTGACTTTTGTTAAGTAGAAAGAAAAGTATTTATAAGTAGGCTGTAAGTTATCAAATAGTTATATGTAATAAATAGGTTATGAAATACATTTCCTTCTGGCGTAGTTGACACTAGTTTAAGGTGCAGTTTGCTTTCTCTCTCACACACACACACATATATAATTTCATAATAACTGAGCAGACATTTTTAGATATAGTATTGGCTGGATTAGAGAATGGCCTACACCCAAGTCTTTCCTCCTCAACATGCCACATCCCTCTTAAAATAAATATCAGTATCTGTGGTCATGCCAAGGGGAAGTTGGCTCATGAGTTATATATAATGATTCTCAATTTAGCTTGTCAAGGTTCAAAAAAAAATGTAGCACAGTAATTTGTTACTTCCATGTCCAACAGCTCAACATCTTAACATCAGTTTGTCCATCTGTAAAATAACCGTAATAAGATTACAGCTCCAGCTAGGAGGAAGGGTAAGCAGATCGAGTCATTATATTCAACGTATATTGCATCAAAGTTGAACTCCATAACTTGACCATTAGATGGGATGGGGAAAGATGGCAGAGAAAAATGGAAAGAGTAACATTGACCAAGAAGCATTGTACTCATAACTGGACTTGGGGAATCAAAACCCCTTTGTACAATACTTAGTAAGAATAAGTTTGTCAATGTCACTTACTTGAGGACATGACCCAACTTTTTCTTATATGCTATTTGATTATTTGTATATCCTTTCCCATGGGTAGATATGAAAATTTTCCTTTGCAGTATAAAGTCAGTTACATGTTCTGTCTTAATCACATGAGAAATAATCTTATGTCCCATGACTTAGTCAATGTCACATGAAAGAATAATAAAAACAAATAAATAACTGAGTTGTTCATAATATATTACTTTACAAGTGAACAATAAGAGAATTATGCATAGGCATGTTGTACATAGGTCTGCATCATTCCTCCTGCATTTGATGATAATGTTATTCTATTCTATTTGCAGTTGCAGTTTACTAGCTGGAAACACAACATACTTTGTCAGATAAGAGGATTTAACCAAGTCCATTGTATTGCAATTAAAGTTTCTGAGTCAAAAGATAACTTTGAGGACATTTTTGCTTTGGATTAGTATGAGCAACATTTTGAAATTTACTTGTACTTTGTAAGAAAATCAAATTCAACACACACATTTTAAGTTGCCAACCACCCGACTAGATAGACATTTTGATCTTTACTGAACATCTAACTTGGAGAATGATCTATCCATTTGCTATTTAGGTTTCCTTATTTCCTCTATTGATCAGAGACTGGTCTTTTCTCACAACACGTATGTATCAGGAACAAAAACAAGGGATAATTACAAATATCTTCACTTTTTCCTCGAATATCACATTACATTACATCTCTCATCTCAATACAGCATGCATCTGTACTATACTTTCATAGTTTCCAAACTAAGCTTACATTTGAAACTTGTATTCATATGAAAACACTTATTCAATTTTTATATGAAGATATTTTGTATTTTCTTCCTTTCTTTTCTTCCTTCCTTCCTTTCTTTCCTCCCATCTTTCTCTGTGCCTCTTTGCTTTTTTTATGTGGCCTGAATTAAGCCCAAAGTTCAGTGCATGCTAGGCAAATGCTCAACCATGGAGCTTACATCCTCAACTCTTGTTTGTTTTGTTTTTGTTTAGCTAAATTTTTTGAGACAAGGTCTCAATATGTAGCTGAAAGCTGGTCTCAAGCTGATGCTTCTCTTGTCTCTGCCTTCAGAAGTTGCTGGGATTTCATATACCCTATGCCCAACTACATTCTACTATATTCCATTCATATGTTTAATGTTCCTGTAACCTTAAATTACATTTATATTTCTTGGGTAGTTTATGTTCCTTTATAAAATTACCCATTTTTAAGGCTACACCAATTTCAGATAAAGGATATTTAAAAGGTTTTTGTTTGATACAAGTGTAAATTTTCATTCTTAACCGTCTTTCAGTAAGGAAGGTTGTGACCCGATATTAAGAAGAACAAAGGATTTTGATTTTCTTTCTATTCTAATCCCCTAAATGCTAATAAATATTTTAACTGCATCTCCCAAATGCAGCATTATACCACGTTCAAAAGCATTTTAAATAGTTATCAAAGTAGGAATTAATTCTATAAACTTTTATTTGCAAAAGTTTAGTGGAAGGAAAAGCTGACTATTTTCATGAAAGAAGATGGATTTGGAATGAAAAGACCTGAATTATAATCCCGTCTCCACCTACAATGAAGTAATTTCATTTCTCTCAGCAACTATTTATAGATTTGCCAAATGAGAATAATCGGTCTCTTATAGACATCATCAAATAATCCGTGGAACCAATCACAAAAAGATGTTTCAAATGGTAGTTATCATTATCCAAGTAGCAATTTTAAATAAAGTATCAATTTTCTTTTAAAATTTGAATTCAGGTAGGTAGATAGGATTATTCTTATTATCATATGGAAACAATATGAAAATATAGGATAATATAATAACATAACAATATAATAACATTTTATTATGTATAATGTAAAAACATTTCATTATGTATAATATAATATAAAATGTCATTATATTATCCTATATTTTCATATTATTTCCAATCTACCGCGGACCTGCTTTGCAACATCCTGGTGGTTGGCTCTATAATCACAGCTCTAAGGAAAACAGGAAATCTATCACCATAGAGTTCTCTTGTTGGAAACAACAAACACTTCTGTGAAGAAGAAAAGCAAATGCCCTAGGGTAAGGAAGGTGCTTTGGGACCAATGAAGGGGGATAAATGGGCTCCTTTGAAAAGGAGGGGCAGTAGAATAGACCTCTCTGAACACACATTTGAGTAGAAATTGAAAGCAAGGCATCAGGGCATGCATAAGAGAACACTGAGATCCAGAGATGAGAGCTGGGCTCAGGGAGAGCACTGTGCCTTTTATCTATGGTGAGTAGCTTGGATTACAGGCAAGAGCCACCAGTGCCTGGCTGATCTATGGTTATACACAACCTAGAGTGAGGTCAAACAAGAAGCTGAATGGTTGGAGTAGAATTCAGGAGCAAGGGAAAACTCACATTCTGTTAAGACTGCCCAGCCACAAGAAGGAACAGAGAGCCACTGGAGCAGGCAAGTTTTCCCTTGAAGAGCTTTGTACGGAGCTTTGCAAGAAGTAAACTGAGATATTTGAGTATGGTGTGAATAGTAACAGAGCCAATGATCAGACATGATGGAATCTAGAATGCATTTTGAAGCTAAAGCTCATAGAAATCAGCAGTCGAGTGACCACACAAAGGAAGCAAATCGCTATTTCTAAGTAACATTTTAAAGGTTCTATTTATTTTCCTTTTTTTTAAGTTTTCACACAGCAAATCCTATTTACATTTTATATATTCAAGGTTGGTACAGGGATCTTCGATTATGATTCCCTCAAGTGACTCTCTTGGCAGAAAGCTCTCCTAGACTCAATGTTTCATAGATGCATCGCCCTGTGTTTCCCAAATGACCTTTCTGTCCCTTCCCCACTCACTGAGTTACATCCTGTCTTAGCAAAAATTCCACACAGGGCAAGCAGCGCTGTCCAGGAAGCAGCTGCTAAAATATCTTCCATTCACTGTGCTCCACATGTGGGGTTATGCTAAGTGCCCTAAAGCAGGATGGAGCAAATGGTGTCCCACAAACCCAATCTAGCCTCTTATTTTTCTCAATAAAGTTTTTTTTTTGAAACACAGCATGCCCATTTTGCAGATATATAGGGCTGCACTCATCCTTAAAGGTAGGATTGAGCAATTACAACAGACCTTCTGTCCCCGAAAGCCTAAAATACTGTCCCTTCAAGAAAAAAAAAATTGATTGACTCCTGTTCTCAAGTGTCCTCTAACCACGAAGTCTCATGATTCTATGAGCTGAGGAAAAAAGAGTCTGAAACAGTCTAAGACCTATATCCACTTAAAAATAAGTGTAAAATCTGTTCTTTTAGGAACACTTCAATGTTTAGTAATTTTCTTTTCTTTCTTTAAAGCTGAGAATCAGAGTTCAATCAAAATGACCACAGTGACAGGTAAGTTTACTATTTTCTGAGTATCTTCATGAGTAAAATCTCAAGAATGAGACAAAGCAGTACCAAAGGGTATGGAGGAAAACAATATGCAGCATCAGAAAGGTTAGGCAACCTTCAATTTAAAAAACAATGCAGCCCAGGAGAACCTCCAGGAAAGGCCGGAGTGCTTTGTGGCCAAGGACAGTAGCTAAACAAAGCCTGCTGAACTGTCCTCTGCTTGAGTCTAATTGTTCTTGGTCTATGGAAAGTGCACCCTCTCCCCAAAGTCCAGTATCTTATTGCACGTTGGGGGCAAATTCTGATCCTTCCAAAAATCAACAACACCTGGCAGATCCCATCACAATCCTGCTTGGCTACATGTCTGGGTGTACTGTGATCTAGTCCAGTGGCTACATAAAGTCAATCATCATCGCAACATTCCCAGTGTCCAGAACACTTTTGAAAGACCTCATTGCCCCTCTCCTTTTTTTCATATGTCTTGGCTAAGTTTTAGAGCCTTCACTATTTGGCAGACAGCAACTTCAGTAGAAAAACAGAAGCAAGACCAGTCATGACATGTCCTGCCATGTCTTACCTCTAGCCAAATTCCAAAGGAGAATGGGCCATCCTGTCTGAGCTCATTCACTGTGCCCACACTTTCTTTCAGTTGGTGACCAATCTTTTGAGCAAGGTATATAACGTGCAGCATGATTGCAGCATGATTTATTCCCTGCAGGAAGTTGTCAATCTTGTTTTTCTACCTTTTTTGTTGTTGTTTTGGTGATACTGGGAAAAAAATTTTCTCTTTTTTTTAAAATACGTTTTTTATTGTAAAAATATCATATAGAGGGGTTACAGTTACATGAGCAAGGCAATGAGTACATTTCCTATCAAGCATTGTTACCTCTTCCTTTGTTTTTCCCCCTTCCCTCCCACCTCTATAACTATACTCCTATATTCCCCTCTCTCCCCCCCTCCACCTAAATTGTAAAGTTCCTTTTTCAACATAGTGTCTTGTACATCTCATTGTTACAATGGGTCAACCTGTATCCCTATTTAAGCATTTTGTTTTTTCCCTTCCCCTCCCCAAGTTAGAGAAGGGTATATACAAGATGCAGGGCATTGTCAATTGAACTCAGAACCTTGCACTTGCTGGGCAAATGCTCTTCCACTTGAGCCATGCTCAGGCCCTTTTGTATTTGGTTTGCATTCAGTTGCGTCTTGATCACTTTTGCCACTGCTGACTTCAAACTGTGATCCTCTTATTTTTACCTTGGAAGTGGTTAGATTACAGGTGTGCGTCACCATGCCAGACAGTTCTTTCAGTGGCACAATCTTGGTATTATTGTTCACATTGGATCTTATAAGCTAGACATATGCCTAAATCAAAATAAAATCTAGAGCCTTTTAAGACTTTCAAGATCTTTTTGATGCTTAAACTGTTAACTTTCTCTGAAAAAATGTTAACTGATCAAAACTTTACAAGAAAGAATTGACTCTACAGTGTATATTAATATGCTGCCTCTGCCAGCTCCTTGCTGTGTGATCTTGGACCAATCACTTACTCCTCCTTGGCTTCAGTTTCCAATTGGTAAAAATGCACATTATAATGCAATAACTGAATTAATATGTTTAAACAATTAGAATGATACCTGCTATCTATTGTCCCATTGGGTTTCAAAATAAAGTCCTTCTTTAATATTTATGTTCATATTTTCATTGGGGGAGAAAGAGCATGCTAAACCTTTCAGCACATTAAGAACAATTTCACTGATCTCACTGATCATTATAAGCAATTAGATTGTTATAAAATCTATTGCCTATGGAAAGTCAATGGAAAGGATTTTGAGTCACATTGACTTATTCTTTAAGCCCTTCCATTTACTGTCGACAGATTACAGTATCTCCCTGGTCCACGGTATCATAATCTTTAAACAAAAGATTAAGGCAGGTACAGTGGCTCATGCCTATAATCCTAGCTACTTCAGAGGTAAAGATTGGGAGGATCATGGTCCAAGGGCAACCTAGGAAATTTGTGAGATCCCTTTTTCTAAAAAGATTTTTAAAAAAAAGAAAGAAAAAGCTGTGTGGTGGTGAATGTCTGTCATCCTAGCTACTCAGAAAGTGTATCTGGCCCAGTATGGCCAGAGTAAAATCTGATAACCTATTTTTTAAAATAATAAAAGCAAAAAGAGTTAGAGGCATGACTCAAGTGGTAGAGCACCTGCCTAGAAATCTCAGAGCCCTAAGTTCAAATTCTAGTACTGCAAATATATATATACATATATGTGTGTATATATATATATGTATATTGAAAATGGTCTATTAACTTGTAAAGGCAGAAAATTCAATTCTATCTGGAAAAAAATATGTTTGGTTGTTTCAGAGATGTGTTTTATTTGCTTCTTTGCCTTCTTCTGTTCTTCTGTGTATTTTTATATTAGAAATTTTGCAAAAGTTACACAACCTAACATTGACTGGATGTTTCCACTTTCTAGGGGCTTAATCATAATATAATTTTATTTAATATCATGTAATAAATAATCATACAGTATAGTATATATGTATTACCATCAATCTTATCACCATTTCTTTTTTAGGTAATTTATATTACTTTTATTCATTTAATCTTTCCAACAATAATATGATGTATAATTCTAGGACTCCCATTTACATATGTGAAAAGTCAGCTCCAAAGAGTTTAAACATCTTGCCAAAAAAACCATAGGAAATAAGTTCCGCAATCAGATTCAACTCCAGTACTTTATCTTCAGAATTTCCTTTAAGTGCTGCTCTATACTTTTGTATACCTTCCTTGACAATTATCTTGATAGTAATGTAGGATATTACAGTCTCACCAAACACATAGAAATCATCATACCACACCATAAATCCCTCAATCACAGAAAGAATAACAGTGGTCTCATAAATTGTGAATCCAGCCCAGTACTATAATCTCAACCATATGATTATGTCAATAGACATAGGTAACTAACAGAAATCATAACCTATACTGTTTTAAATTAAGTAGAATAGGAAAGAAAATGCCAGATGGCATTTACACACATGGAGATAAATTTTGTGTAAGTTTTGGGTTCAGTTTTTTAAAAATTTTAGAAATTTCTGTCCCAAGAGCCATTAAATTCTACCTATACAAGATGCTCAGCAGTGTCACTAGCCCTGGACAACCCACATGCTGTGACTAGAAAAGCTTCGGTTTTCATCTGTTTCCAACAAATTCGATTAGACTCAGCCTGAGGCTGCCACATAGCCTGCCCTTAGCAACGTAAGATACGCAGTCTTAGAGATAAACCATTGGCGAAGTGGTGCTGTGGCTCAAAGTGAAAGAGCACTGGCCTTGAGCAGAAGAGCTCAGGGACCATTCCAAGGCCCTGAGTTCAGGCCCTGTGACAGACAAAAAAGAAAGAAAAAATAAACCATTAGGAAATCATAGGAAGATGGAGACTGCTGGTTATTTAACCAGCCCTTATCTTCTAACACAACTGAAAGAGTAGTTGATCATCATAAACAGCATTAGAAAAAGCACCTCAAAAATACCAAGGTTTCAGATAGTTCCCAGTCTTCACTTTACTATCCCCTTTTCTGCCTGCTTGGTGCACTGGTCTGACATTTTGCTTTGTTTTAGGGGTATATATCTAAGCTTCCTCCCACAGATCTTGTACATGGCAAGAACAGTACACACTCTGAAGCTTGTTCTTATCCACAGATGTCAGAAAAGCATGAGCACATAGTACATGCTGGGCTGTGGGTGGCAAAGAAGGAAAGAGCCAAGATGGTTTCTTTGGTGCAGTTAGACAGGGCCTCATCTAAGGGGTCCCAATCCTAAGATGCCTCTTCGTGTAATCAACAAGTCAGCTGCAGTAGCAAGAGTGCCCCATGGGGTTTGGTGAGAATGTCTACCTTTTGTCCTCCACAGACTTGCTGTTCTGTGGGCAGACAAGGCCAACAGGCATCATTCAAGGAGAACATTGCACACCACAATAGAGGAAGAACTGATTTTCAAAACATTCTCTTTAAGAACTAATTTTTATTTCTAATGCGCAGTAATAACAGCTTACACACAGCTATTTGTATTTCCTTTAACATTATTGGGATATTACTTTGTACATGCAAAGAATTATAAGTTATTCTTAAAAATAATGAAATAATTCTTTTTTTATGTTGATAATAATTTTATTATTTTACCTTATTTTTAAATTTTTATTTATTTTTATTGTAAAGGTGATAATACAGAGAGGTTACAGTTGCATAAGTCAGGTAATGAGTATATTTCTTTATGAACTGTGTCACCTCTTCCCTTGTTTTCTTCCAGTTTTTTTTTAATTTAATTTAATTTTATTTGTGAACATACTGTACAGAGGGGTTACAATTGCATGGGCAGGATAATGCGTACATTTCTTACCAAGCATTGCAGC